TTTATTTACCCTCGGATTGTAGAGTAGCTTTAACAGCTAATGTCTCCGAGCATTTCAACAGCACAATGGGCAGAGACCAGACCACAACACCGGGAACTTTGTGCCCTGCTCTTTACGATTAACAATTACGATGACAGAAGCTGAGAAAAATTTGCATATAAACGATGCAAACTAATAAAAATAAATCTTTTCGCTGCTTACATTATCACTTAGGGTGGGTTTTAATTTCCTTATTAGCAGAGTCTCTTTTATCCTGCAATGTGTATCTGTCCGACCTTTTGCTAATATATCAAAGTGGTCCCATTTGAAGTTGTGACCAGTTGACGTGACGTGGTCTGCAACAGCAGAAGCATGACAGCTACTCGTGATCGCTTTAAAATGTTCAGTTTTTCTGTCATGCAATCTACGTTTTCTTTTTCCAATGTAGAAATCCTGGCAGTCCCAACAACTAGCCTTATACAAAACTTTTGAAAGATGGGAACGGTTGATCCTAACTTTGAAGGGAAATAAAGACTTGATGCGATAAGGGCTTTGGAAAATAACTCTAAGATTAATGCAGCCATAAAACTTATTAATGCAGGTTTTCAGTTGCTTGGTAACAATTTTTACCCTTTGTACCCCTAAATAAGGTAAAACTAAGATTATTTCCTTTTTAGGGACTGTAGTGGTTGGATTCTTCGGTTTGCGTTGCTGCCTGTTCAGAACATCATTAATGTTCCAAACTTGTTCCCAGGGCCTTCATTTGAAGGGAAACGCGCTGACCATGAAAACAGAGATAAATACTTTTAAAGAATATTTTCAACGAATTCGACGACCCCTGTTTTTCGTATATTTCTGCCACGTACTAACGTGAAAGATTTCGAACGAACGTCCTCAAAGAAGAAAATACGCGCGCGTGAACTTGCTGCAAATTGTCGCACACGTTTGTGAGAGCCCAAGCCTGAGGCAATGTTTTACGTTCAAATAGTTGCATCAGGCTCTCTAAAGCTACATTAACGAATATGTAAACCATACAGAACAGTATCATTACAGTCTAGTACAGAATATGTAACCAACCAATCACAACGCATTCTATATAACTTCACGGTCTAGATCTTCTGATTAATTTCAGGTTCTTTATCCTCAATTCAAAACAACAAAAAAGAACCCATCAGTTTTTAGCCTCAACTGGTGCCTGTACGTATAATGGGGGTTGAAATATCTTAACGGTTCGAAAACAGGGTTAAATGACTAGTTTCGTATAAGTGGGTTTTACTGCATATGATTAACCTGTATGGAATATTGCTGAAGTAGATAGCAACATTACATGCCAGGATGCGATGCTGCATGGGGGGAATAATTCAACGGGGTAAAGATGAGAAACCGCTGACCAACTGAGGACCAAACTCTGGTTTGGATTCGAGTCCCGAGGCCGAGGAGGACTTCCATGTGAAAGGGTCGGGGATGCTCGTTGGAAATTTAAGTTAGATCCCTAAAGGAGAACAACCTGGGCGTGACTCAGCGTTATTTGACCCCCAAAAGATACGATAAAAATAATTGTATGCTTGTTCAGTCTTGACCACCGACATAGCATGCATGACGGTGCAACACTAAACGACACCTTGACGGCTACTAATATTGGCTTTCCACCTTGAACATCCTAACGGATTGTTCCGTTAATATATGAACAATTAGCATTTGATTGACGTTTGATTTCGTAAATACCTTTTGATTGACATTTAGCCGCGTAACCGATACGGTCAATTGACCTTTGAGCTTGGATAAGTTAGTTTTTGTCGCAGATATTTCCACTGTGAACACGTTCGTTGCTGACCTGTTTTGCTGACCCGTTTTCTGCTGTTTTCAAATCTGTTTATCTGTTTCCTGACCTGGACAAACCGTAAAACAATCTGATTGGACATCGTCAAAGAAGTAAGTTTAGTACTGTAACTCAGGTTTAAAACAGTGTAACTTAGGTTTGTGTTTATATTCCGATCGTCTGTTTGGTTTCTCAATGGAATTTTGTATTACCTCTTTAGATCGAATAATCTTGAATCCTGGAATAAATTATACGATTGGCGTAGCCCAGTTAGATTGTCTGTTTGGTTTTTTACGGAACCAATTATTATTATTATTATTATTATTATTATTATTATTATTATTGAATACAACCGTGTTCTCAGTAAACATCCTTGCATTTTACTGTTGCGTGACGCCAGCATAGTACAGATACTCGAGCTTGGGCTACCGGTGATTTCCCAGTTATCGGTTCCCTGTTTCACTTTGAATGCTATTTTAAATATCTCACTTTTAATTCATTCATTTCTCCTCGGGACCCCGTGAAAGTGAAAGTTAAGAGGCAGATCTCGTAAAAATGCTTACAAGGCGTGTTATTTTACTCTTACCTGACATGAAGTATTAAGCCACCCGCCACCCGCACCCAACACCCGCCATCCACCCGTCACCCGCATCCGCCACCCGCACCCGCCACCCAACACACAAACTCCCGCCATCCACCCGTCACCCGCATCCGCCACCCGCACCCGCCNCCTGACCTGGACAAACCGCAAAACAATCTGATTGGACATCGTCAAAGAAGTAAGTTTAGTACTATAACTCAGGCTTAAAACAATGTAACTTAGGTTTGCGTTTATATTCCGATCGTCTGTTTGGTTTCGCAATGGAATTTTGTATTACCTCTTTAGATCGAATAATCTTGAATCCTGGAATAAATTATACGATTGGCGTAGCCCAATTAGATTGTCTGCTTGGTTTTTTACGGAACCACGGATCACAAAGTCTTCAATTTTCACTCCTCACCGAAACGACGTGCGTGCGTGCCCGGCCCTAAACCCGAAATATGACAATACGACCTAAATACGAGTTTCCCTTGCCCCCAGCCCCACGCGGGATTACGTGACTGTCAAGGTGAGACAACAGTCGTGAGCAAATATCTTTTGTCTCAAAAGTAAACTACAGTCCGTCCAGCAATATGGCGGTATTTAGAGCGCTTCTGTGCTTTGTAATGATTTCAAGTTGCTTGGCTGCAAACTTTGTCATTTTTCCTATGTTCGGAAGAAGCCATTACATGTTTGTGGCTCGGCTTGGGCAAGAACTGGCCGAGAGAGGTCATCAGGTATGCAAATTAGGTGTACAATATTTCATCCTTCCAGCTTCTGCATTAGCTCAAACGATCGTCTGCATCTTAGCAACATTATAGCAACGTAGAGTCAGGAAAAGTAAAGCATCGTGTCAAATAAGGAATATTTTCGTGATTAACGGTGATTTAAGTTTAGTAGTTTATTATGTTAGTGCGGGTTGACCCTTGAAATATTTCACTTGTAAAGCCTTTGTTGGCAGAACCCTCCCTTTGTACACTGTTAATTTAAAGTTGGTGGCGATCAAGCGCAAAATTATAGATCCCAAAACAGTTGAAATCGTGATGAAGTACACCCACAGAAGCTCTCAATAGTTCAGAAGAAAGCGTTCTCAGTTATTTACATTAGGCTCACAATTTTCAGTTGATTGGCTGCCGGGTGTGACTCTGCTCAAGATGCCGATACTGATAGACAATTCTAAACATTGTTTAGATACGGGCCACTGTTGAGCTCACTTTTCGCATAAACGTGTAAGCTTGATCGCGGAAGGCAAGAAGCTGGACCAAATAATATACCTGATCGATTAACACCAGACCATGGCTGTTTTAAACTAAAACTTAAAGTTTCGTTTGGTGCTCTCCTACAAATTTTTTTTTCGGATCCTCGCCGCCAATAGAATTCTTTATACTATTTAGACATGAGTGAAGATTACAATCACTTGCTCGATGCTAATTACAACAATCACGTGGCTTTGTCAGTTCTGACTGTACTACTTAAATCAATCAAGTCGTGCTACCACACGAACTGAGTATCTATAGTAACGTCAGGTGGAGTAACGCAGTCTCACAAATTATAGCCCTACCGCCAGGTTTCCCATCTGCAGCTTATTCTCATGGGGTCAAGTTCATTTTGGCATAATTTTGTATTCGTTTGCTCGACAGGATTAAAGGGGCTTAGAGTTTCTTTTTTGAGGCGTCTCTTCAGTTGTAAACAGGGCTCCTGAGCAGCACGATTCGATTTTATCCTTCTTCGAATCTCGTTCGGTCCAATAGCGAACTTTAGTATTCGCTTTACGTTCGACATGAGACTGACGAGACCTTCTTTGTCCAGACATATGTTAATTTGGCTGAAAGCAAGAATTCGCCAGCTCTTTACATGCACTAAGACTGTGTTAATTAAAGTGATGGTAGCGGGTGGGGAAAGTACAAAAACAAAATTCATGCAAGAAGAAGAAGACGGGAAGAAAAAATTCCAGTTGTGTGAATTGCACTGTCGGGGTACAAACTGTACCCGCCTGAAGAGCACCTTGGCAGCCACTTTATACTGCAGTTTTCTTGGTCCAGGTGGAATCCTCCTTCACCTGATATTCTCTACAACTAGGATAACCATTTTTCCCTTTCAAGGCTGATGCACTTTGTGCGCTACAACCTTATCATGGACACTGGAAGCCAAACACCCTTGCATAAAAACCTTTATGGATAGCATGGCTTACATGTAAAAGTGAAAAACCCCATGTGCTATAAATAGACAGCCATCCTGTTTGATAGTACAATAGTACATACTGTGTTTTGAAAGCCTCGATAGACATAATGATTTCACAACTGAAATGTATAAATTAAGATTGTGGACACAGATGTGCACACACATGTCGAACGGTGACATTTTCCCTGAGATAGCCGCCAAGACCAACGTTGGACAAACGCTGGAATCAAAGACAGTCATTGAAATGTTAACGCACCTGATGTATTAAGTAAACGAAGAATGAAGTAAACGACCCATTATCAAATAATCAGTTAAGTTCGATCGATACATTAAATTTATTGGCTGAAAATCGTGGAAAACGCACCAAAAACGCTTCAATTTAGCAAGACTTTATGGAGGGGATGCCCCAGACCTCCCTAGAGGAATAATAGGGCCTTCGGCCTCATATTTCTTACTAGACGGCCACTCACAAAATCCTTGCTAAACGTTTGATTCACCGCAAGCCCAGAATGAAATATATTACAAGAGTAATGAATAAATAAAACTGATATTTCCCTTGACATAAAATTAAAAATGTAATGCAATGCAATGCAATGCACAATTCACAAACATAAACAGTTATCAGGACGCTCGCAAACGTTACGGTCATTGTGACTTGTAGAAGTTGTAATAGCTTATATTTGACGTCAGCCTCGCTTCCTCTCCCAGGCTATCTTGTGAACAGGCTCCGGCTGGAAGGGTCTGGTCGCAGCTGGAAGGGTCTGGTCGCAGCTGGAAGGGCTAAGAAGAAACTGACTCCTCTTCACCCCCCACCCCTCCCTTTCCCGTCCTCTTTCCCCTCCCCTCTCTTCTGTTCTCTTTCCCCCCGCTGTCTCTTCGCCCCATCCTCGACTAGAGAGCCTGTTCACAGGCTACTCCAAGACACTTTCCCCTTTTGGTATTGGGGACTAGAAGTTTAATTGAAATATGATTATCAATATGATCTGTATCTTCTTTGTCTCCCTATTCTCATCGCTCCTTCGCCGTCCTCGTTGAATACTCCGTCGTTGAAACAAAGTACTCGCGCTCAAAATCCCACCAGCTAGATGGACTCACTTCTTTAGGTAGTACTGCTAGTTTTCGACTTTAAGTGTTTGAAACGCTTTTATGTTTGCACAGGTGAAGATATTTGTGGGAGCAACCCAGAGTTACGCCGCAAATGATTCAAACGTCCGAGTTTTCAAAGATGACAAGTTCGCAGCAATGTACAGAGAAATGCAGGCATCAGGAGGACATTCCACGAAAACTATGGATATAAAAGACCAATTAAGAATGCTGCTAAAGATCCAGTCAGTTTACTGTGATGAAATGCTTAACGACGCAGAGTTAATTAGAGAAATTAGCCATGCTGATGCTGTCATTGGCGAATTAATATATCTCTGCTCGTCTTTAGTTGCCGATAAGTTGTCTCTTCCACATGTAATCATATCTGCTTCCACTCTCTCTACACCCACGGCGGTTGCGCTTGGATTACCCTCCCCTCTCTCCTATGTGCCGCAGGTAGATGCTCCTCTAACAAATGAGCTGAAATTTGTGGACAGAATGAAGAATGTGTTGCAGTGGATGTTAATGTATTATTTCTACATCTACGATTTCTGTCCGTTGTTCAACGAGGTTAAAACAAGGCACAACATCACACCCGACAAGCCCATACAAGAAACTCTTGGCAGAGTTGATATGATAATTGGTCAGATGGATTTCACATTGGAGTATCCACGACCTCTCCTTCCAAGTAAGGAACTTAACCGCAAAAGAAAGTCTGTCTATCTACCTGTCTGTCTGCATGTCTACTTGTTTACTTTTTTTTACTTATTTACTTACTACTTATTTAGTATTTGTAAGTCTGCGTACGAGCTGAGTGGCCCATCAGGCCGGCGCCTATGGCGGGTTTCAGTAGCAAGAAGCGACTTGAGGTATTTCTTCTCCCCCCTGGACGGGATGTTAGTTCATCGCAAGGTTACCCCCAGCATTAAGTTCGTCGGTACCCAATTATACAGCTGGGTGGAGAGAGGCCTTGTGAGAGTAAAGTGTCTTGCCTAAGAACACAACACAATGTTCCCGGCCAGGAGTCAAGCCCGGACCGCTCGATCCGGAGGCGAGCGCACTAACCGTGAGGCCACCGAGCCTCCACACCAAGTATTTATTGATATTTTTAAATTCTATCTCCAAGACACTCGAGTGGTGGGTCCATTCCTACCCAGTCCTGCTAAGCCTCTGCCAAGCGACTTGGATCAGTTCATGAAGGAGACTGGAGAGGATGGAGTGATCTTGGTGTCGTTTGGTACTGTAGTAGAAGGAATGAAGGACGCTTCATTGCAAATGATGGCCAAAGCCTTCTCCAAACTGCCACAGACGATCATATGGAAACTCAAGCTGGAAGGTACTTCCACAGAAACAGTTTGACCCAAGATGATTTAACCAATATGCCTTTAGCAGATAGCCTATTTATGACTTGAGATGAAGTCATAAGAAGTAATTAGGGCCGCTATGTAATCTTAAATTTCACTATCTTTGTTGTGACCAAACTGATTCAAGGTTGTTTAGATGGAAAAGTTGATTTATTTATTAACTTATTTATTCGACTTCAATGTTAACTTCTAATAATGCGACCTATATCGTTCTTGTTAAAGAATTACCACAACTGATTGTTTTCCCTCTAACAGGCACATCCAAAGTTTCAATGAGTGACAATGTAAAGCTGTTGTCATGGTTACCACAGAACGACATTCTTGGTCATCCTAAGACGCGTCTATTTATAGGTCACGCAGGGCTCAACGGAATGCTGGAATCCACATACCATGGTGTCCCTATGATTTGCTCGCCTTTCTTTGGAGACCAGTTTGATAACGCACGGATTGCAAAGCACGCTGGGTTTGGTGAGGTGGTGGACTTAGACACTATGTCAGCGGAAGATTTTGTTAGCTTGATTCACAAGGTGTTAACTCAACCCAGGTGAGCTTTAATACAACAATAATATCGATATATGATACGGTCCTATTAATAACGTCTCGAAAATTGGTCCCACAAATATACTCCTGCCTCCGTAATTGCAAAAACAAGGAAAGCCCTAAATTTATAAGCTCCCCCTTCACTATTACAATATAAGCACATGGGCTAACGTGAAGCTTTAACTTGTATTGTATTTGATGACAAAACAGTATAGAGGGATTTTCAATTAAATAAATTCCTTTCACCTTCATTTTGTAAGGAAAGTCGTTGCAAGCGATTCGTCTATGGAGCAGTCTCTCTCAGCTTTGTTTCCGTTCATGCAATAGGTAACGAATTGGTCTTTTCCCAATTAGCATTTAACATCTCTATCCAGCAGAACATTCTCTTGAGCGGGTGTCATAATACCTTTGAGGAACACTGAGTAGTTAGAAAGTCGTAGAATTGTAGTTCCTCCACATAGTTAACATTAACAAAACAATTTCTTTTTTCTAGTTATCGTGTATCAGCTGAACGAATATCAAAATCCATCAAGCGATTGCCGCGTCCGCCCATCAAAGAAGCCGCTGACTGGGTGGAGTACACGCAGGCTCAAGGTGGTTTGCAGTACCTCAGACCACGGGGCCTGGATCTACCGTTCTATCAGCTCTATCTGCTTGATATTTTGTTTTTTGCATTCTTAGTCTTAGTTGTTGCTTTATTTGTTAGCGGATTCTTGTTGAAATCTGTAATAAGTTGTTTGTTGAGACCCTCGCCAAAGGAAAAGGCAAACTGAAAGCCACCCCATTTTTTTACTGATATTATAATCTTCAGAACGCACGTTACATAACATCACGGTTACAAACATAACAGGAAAATAAGCTATCAAGATCCTCTGATTTATTTCAGGTTCAAAACATCTCAACAAATAAGAATTTGTCAGGTCAAATTTTAGCCTCAACCTAGTCCCAGTATGACGGGAGTAGAAATTAAAAATACAAAAAGGTTTAGACAACAGATTCTATATGACCTGTTTCGTATAGGTGAGTTTTAACTGTATACGATTAAGCTGTATGAAATATTACTGAAATAGAAGGCAGGCCGCGTAGGCAAAACAATTCAACGGGGTAAAGATGACAAACCGCTGACCAGTTGAGGACCAAGCTTGGATTCGAGTCCTGTCGGGGATGCTCGTTAGAAAATTTATATTACATAACCTGGGCGTGTCTCAGCGTTATTTGACTCCAAAAGATACTATAAAAATAACTGTGTGCTTGTTCGGTCTTGACCAACAACAAAGTATGACGTTGCAACACTAAACGATCCCTTGATGGCTAATTTATAATAATAATGGCTTTCCACCTTGAACACCCTAACGGATAACAAAATCTTCAGTTTTCACTCCTCACCGAAACGACGTTCGTGCCCGACCCTTAAACTTCAGAGCGAAAAACCGTACTATGCAGCTTTCTGCGCATCCCTAGCCCTACTTGTGGGCTCAGGTAATAATGCAGGCTGCAATGGTGGAAAGAACGGCGGACTGCTAAAAAGGTACGCGAGGATGTCGTTCGGTTGATTTATTTATACATGGGTAAGCATGAATTTTTTTCCGCATTTCACTGTTAAGAAAACAAGGCTCCCCTCCCTGCTGAGAGGCTTTCTTGCTTATATATTCAGTGGTGCACTGATATGGACGCAATACGTAAAGAGTGTCCGTGGAAAAATCTCTCTTCGCACCGAAATTTCTTGTATACCGCGGGGAAATAAAGGGTTCGGAAACCTTTAGGTTAATGTTGTCCGAAAAAAAATTGATTCCCCAAGAAAGTAATACACCATCTTTCCATTAGTGACGTTAAAATGTTGCTGCTTACCGGAAAAATTGAGAAAGCATATAAAGTTCGCAACTATTTTTGTTTACACGATCGACGAAATTCCCGCAATTTCTTCAAACTTGGAGACTGGCGCGAGGCCAAAACTCGCGCATGCTTTTCACGTTTTTCCGCTTTGAACCCGAATTACGAATTTCCCTTGCCCCCAGCCCCACGCGGGATTGCGTGACTATCAAGGTGTGCCAACAGTCGTGAGCGAATATATTTTGTCTCAAAAGTAAACAACAGTCCGTCCAGCAATATGATGGAATTTAGAACGCTGCTGTGTCTTGTAATGCTTTCAAGTTGCTTGGCTGCAAACTTTGTCATGTTTCCTATGTTTGGAAGAAGCCATTACATGTTTGTGGCTCGGCTTGGGCAAGAACTGACCGAGAGAGGTCATCAGGTATGCAAATTAGATGTACAATTTTTCTGTATTAGTTCAAACGATCCTCTGCATCCTAGCAACATTACAGCAACGTAAAGCCGGTAAAAGTAAAGCATCGTGTGAAATAAGGAATATTTTCGTGATTCACTGTGATTAAAGTTTAGTAGCTTATTAACTTAGTGTTGGCTGACCCTTGATCGCTTGTTAAGCCTTTGTCCACAGAACTCTCTCTTTGTAAACTGCTAATCCGATCGGCATTAAGTGAGAAAGGCCAGTAATCACTAAGGACCACTAGGTTGCTAGCGCAAAATAATAGATCACAAAGCAGTTGAAATCGTGATGAAGTACACCTAAAGACGCTCTCAATAGTTTAGAAGGAAGCCTTCCCTGTTATTTACATAAGGCTCGCAATTTTGAGTTGATTGGCCGCCGGGTGTGGCTCTTACTCAAGATGCCGATACTGCTCTGATAAGCAATTCTAAATATTGCTTTTGCTAGGGCCACTGTTGGGCTCAGTTTTCGCCAAAGCGCGTAGGCCTGAACGCGGAAGGCATGCAAGAAGAGACTCCGAGAAGCTGGATCAAACAAATAATAAATCTGATCGATTAACTTCAGTTCAAAGCTTTACTGAGTTTCGTTTGGTGCAATTTATTTACTTGCAGAGTTTCGCCGCCAATAGAGTGAAATTAAGCCCGTTTAAGGGTTCTGTGCGACATGAGTGAAGATTACAATCACTTGCACGGTGTTAATTACAGCAATGACATATCCTCGTTCTGACTTTCATGTTTAACGAATCAAGTAAACATCGCGTTATTACACAAACTGGGTCCCCACAAACTGAGTATCTATTGTAACGTCAAGTGTAGTAACGAAGTCTCATGTTTCTCATATCCCTACCGTTAGGTTTCCCATCTGCAGTTTTACCTCATGGGGTCAAGCTCAACGTAAATTATAAGCCTGCTCTTGGCAAAATTTTGTATTCATTTGCTCTACTGGATTAAAGAGGGTTAGAGCTTTGTTTTTAAGGCGTCGCCCTTTGTGAAGAGCACTCACGAGGACCACGATTTTATATTTCTTCGAAACTCTTTCGGTCACGATCGTAAACTTCATTATCTCGCTTTCTCAAAGTGTATCAAGACGTTCGACTCAAGACTAATAAGAATTTTTTGTGTCTAGTCGTATGCCACAGTTTGGCTGAAAGCAAGAGTTCGCTTGCTCCGTCTACATGCGCTAAGACTTTGTGTTAATTAACGTGAACTATCAAAGCTGGTTTTCAGACGCGGTAAGTTGATAATTAGTGCCTTTTGTTGGGACAATTCCTAACAAAAGGCGCTGCTTAACAGCACCTCACATGTCATTACTGCGTTTGCGTATGTCGGCTTAGACCAGGAGCCATAATCGGGGACGGAGACCGTAAGTCTTGGGATCCGCGCGCACCTATGATATGGGACAATTTTTCTATTTTTAGAACAAATTGCGCC